ACTAAGGCCTTAAAAGTCCATTGCAGCCAGGCATGAGATATGTTGTAAAATGTTGTATGTCTGTTAATGTTTCCCTCCTTTTATCCTTAAAATAAAAAAAAAAAAAAAAAAAATAAAAAAATAAAGGAATGAGTCAGTCTCCCAGGCAGAGAAGGGGGTAGAAAAGTCGATGTGGCACACTTACAGGCAGAGAGGTGCCCACAGGCAGCGGGTGCCAGGGCAGATGTGTGGAAAGGCTGCAGGGACGCTCAGGGCTGTGCAGAATCACAGAGCTAGGGAGGAAAGTGTGGTCTTTCTCGCTGGGAAGGGTCTGAAGGCTGCACCAAGGAATTTTAATATTTCAGTATTAAGCAAAAGAGAAGCTCTCTAAGTAAGGAAGTAACCGATTCTCAGTGGGACAGTAAGAGACCAGTTAGAGGGAGCTGAAACAGTCCAAGGAGATGCTGGAGCCTGAACCAGGCAGGGACAAATGGAGTGGTAGGCAGGGGTCAGAGAGGACAGAGCGGGGAGGAAGCCGTGCTTCTGAGAACACTAAATCAGCAGTGAGGCTGGACAGCCACTCTGGACAGCCAGGGAGAGGCAGCGGGCAGACAGCTCCCGGGATGCCTGTGATTATTAAAAGGGGACAGAGAAATCCGAACAGGGTCTTCTGAATGTCCTGTGTGTCCACACCGGGCCTAGGAGAGTGTGCAGAGCCCAGGACAAAAGCGCTTCCCTCCTTTCTCCAACTACTCACAGCAAACCCACTGGAAGGAAGAGAATTTCTAGCGAATGTGTTTGGTAAAAAGCCCTCCGTGCAGGCAAGTACACAGCTGTACTCTGAAAAACCATGTGCAGGTAGAAGGCTGTGTCCTCCAAAAACAATGCCCTGCATGGCCCAGGCTTCCAGTACCTGGCTCCTCTCTAGCCTGCTCTAGGGGGAGGTGAGCCGCCACGCAGGTGGGGAAAGGGTCCTGTACACCATAGCCATTGAGAACCCCGCCCTGGCCTGGGGCTGCCTGAGGCTGAGGGGTTGGGAGAGAGAGCGTCCCTTTCCCTGCAGCATCCTGACGGTGCTGACTGCTTAGAGGGGCCTCACACTCACAGGGGACTGAGTTCTGCTTCTCCATCCCAGCCCGAGAATGAAAGGCCTGTTGACCTGCTGGGCCCCAGGGGAAGCTGGTCTGCGTCCAGCCCGGATCACATTTCGGCTGAGGAGGGAGGTGATGACAGAAGTGGCGTGACCGGTCCCCACACCATGCCCCATGACTGGCTGCAGCTGGGCTGTGCAGGTCTTACAGACGGTGGTCACTGGAAAGCGCCCAGGAATGAAAATGAAGCCCCGTTTTCCAGGAATGCCCAACATGTGTGGTAAACGAACGCAGCAGAGCTTTCTCGGCACAGACCTTCCGTGTACTCTTCTGGCCATGGCAGCAGCCTCGGGGGCTCGGGGTCACGAGACCTCGGCAAAGCGCCCCTCACTGCCTCCAAACAGCTCTGGCCCAATCCCCAAAGCAGATCCTAGGCCTGCTGCCTGCGCAAGCCTCCTGCTCACACGGGCCACTGTTTTCAGTGGGCTGCAGCCTGTGGACGCTTTCTCTCCTGCCCTGCGCTCCCCACACCACGAACACAAGGCTTTTGGACCTCACGAAGTCAGACTCACAGGAACATGGGTGTGGGTGGCGAGAGAGAGGATGTGGTCATGGCACTCGAGGGAGGCCACTGCCAGGCACATGGACTCTCAATTGATGTTCCACAAGTGGCTTCTGACGGAGGAAGCCCTGGTAGTGCCTGGTCACCTGGCTCTCATGAGACATGGCTGTCTGTGGCCCTCAAGATGGGTAGGCCACGCGAGACCAAGCCTGTGAGGCTCACCTGGTGGACACCAATTCCCAGCCCAGCGGTCCAGGCCCGCGTGGGCCCGAGCACGAAGACTTCTTGCTTACGTTTCTGAGCCAGGTTATTGAGTTTCTGGATTCTCCCGAAGCCGTTATACCTGCTGAGCTCTCAGAAAGGAGCTTCTTGGGCAACAGAAACAAGTGCTAACAGAGACCCACAACGGTCTGAAGAGCTGATCCGTGATTGCTCAAGAGGGCTTGTGACTAACAGCCCAGGTAAGAGGTTTGATTGCTCATTACTCAGCGGCTCTCATGAGAGCAGGAGTCGCTCAGGGAGAGGAAAGTGCTGTGTAATCAGTTTGTTGGTCACAATCCCCTCTGCACAGAGCAGACTCCTAATGCAGCTCTCAGGAGACACACCTGAGCAGCCCAGGTGTGTGACTCATCCTGGTCACAAGATGCCTGAGGCCACAGGGCAGGTTCAGCACCTGAAACTGGACTTTTCAGTCTAATTTTAGGCACTGCAGAACTGGGCGAGCCCTGAGGGAAACTCCGTAGTGGGTTCCATAGCAGGGACAAAAATCTCACAGTGGGATCCCAAGAAGATTCAATGAAGAATCTAAGAACACATCAGCTCTGTGCTCAGCCGAGTATCTCACACCTCCACTGTGGTCCATCCTTCCATCTCAGGAGAGACAGACGCCTAGAGCACCACGTTTGTGCCTCTTGGACAGCAGCCCTGCAATGGCTTCCAGACCCAGCTGTCATCCACTTGTCTGCCCCCCTGGCAGGGGCTGAGCCTCACCTGATCCTGCTCTAGCTCGGTCCTTGGAAGAAGAGAGAGGTGGAAGGGTTTACACAGACACCACTGGAGTTGCTCTGGCCAGCTCAGAGCATGTCTTATTTCTAAGGGAAGGAATCCCGTAAAACTCAATGGGACCCTTGTTCTAAAGCAATTAAGCTTGCAAATAGTTATGTGTTTTATGCCTTCAAGATAGCTACCAGAGGGAAAATAAGACTCCTGAAATGGAAGTGTAAATTCTCTTCTTTAGTGAAACTGGAAAAGGAAACTGACTTAGGGAGGCGCAATACAGGGGCAAGAGGACCAAGCGATCCTCTTCCCTCTGCTGGCTCAGGTCTAGATACAAAAGCCAGACATGGAGAGGGTCCATCAAACAAATCCAAATGTCACTGAGCCATGGACTGCCACAGTCAGTTTCCACACTAAAGCTAAGTCACACCTTCATACTGAAAGAAAAAAAAGCAAAAGCAAAAACAAAAGTCACCCTCTGACTCCTGAGTTTAACATGAAATGTGCAGAGGTCACATTTTGGCTTTGGATCTCCTCAACCTCATATGCCAATGTATAAGTCAGCAGTCAAATTTAACAAGGCTACACAATGAAGATTACAAGTTCATACAGGGCAGAGGCTCAGATTCTAAAATGCCAAAAACACAATTACAGGCTCACCAGTCATTAGCTCACTGAGCACTGGTATTTAATAGCTAACGCTTTTGTCATGCAAGCGAAGAAGGGTAGACAGAGTTATTTTATCCTCTCTTTGCCTGAAAGGTACATTGTTCTTGCTGGGTAATCAGGGTTACTTAAAAGGCCTACAGTAGTTTCAGAGACAACTGCCAAGAGGATGAAGACAAAGAAGATTCAGAAATTGGATTTATTTTGTTTCCACCCTGAGTTGTCCTGAGAGTAATAAAACAGAATGCTGGGTGTCTTTCTGCTCAGATCCCTGGAATCAGTCACCCCTCCAAGGGAAATACAGGAAAGTGAGTTATGGAGAGCTGGCTCCTTGAATAAGAATGCATCTAGGAGGCTACTCACATCCAGTAACTATTTTAAATGTATTTTCTTACTTTATATCATGGAAAATTTCAAACACAGATGGAAGTATCGAGACTAATGTGACAACTCCCAACCTGATCATATAGCATCAGTGCCTCGGTGCAAGCCCAATCTTGTTTTCTCTGTACATCTCCTCACTGCCTTCCTGACCCATCTTTTTTTCAGACTATTTTGAAGGAATCTAAAAGATGAAATCATCTCATCTATACATATTTACCTGAATCTAAAATATTGTGATTTTTAAAAAAATACAACACAACTTTGATAGAAGTTATAAAATAGGATACAATCGTCAATGCATTGTTTTTTTGTTTGCTGCACATTTGGGGTGTGTGTGTGTGTGTGTGTGTGTGTGTG